TTATTTGATAATTGAAAAATAAAAGGAATGAATTTGAATTTTGAAATTAATGGTGATTAATTTAAAATTCAAAATAGAATTTGAACATGATTTGATTTGGGCAATAAAAGGGAAGGAAAAATTCAGAAATCCCTAAGGCAAGAGGGAATTCGGATTTTGATTAAAAAGAGGAAGGAAAATTCAGAAATCCCATCTAGGGTTTGAGTTTTCGAATTTCCTCTTATAAAAAGATATTATTAGAAACCCTAGTGGTGGCTAAGAAGAAAAAAAAAATATCTCACTCTCATTCTCTCCCTAGGGTGGCCGGATTTTGTAACAAAATTAGAAGGAAAATTGTTTCCTTAGGTTTTTGAAAAAGAGCCCACTCTCTCATCCCAAAACACTTAGAGTCATAGTCTTGAATCAATGAGTGGTTTGTGGTGTGATCGTGTTCATAAATCAACGGTCTTATTTCACTGCAATTCTCCATCTCGGAACTTGAGATAGTGAGACAAGATCCTTGCGGCCATATTTGATCCGATCGTCTTAAAGGTATGATTGTCATTTTATTCCTTTATCAATAAACATATATCATGCATGTATCTCTCGTTGTGGTTTAAGTTTAATTTGGAATTAAAAGATATGTGAAAATTTTTGAAATTTCCGCCTACAAGTTTGTTGTTGTTCAAATGATTTTTTCACTTAAAAATCACAACTTGATCCTACAGGTTCTAGGTCCTAAAACAAGTCCAAAGAACCCAAGATCTCCAATTTCTACTCTAGTTTTACTCAAAAACCATCAAAATCCGGTTTGAACCAAAAATAAGTTTTGAAATTCAAAAACTTGAGATTCAAGAGAGGTTTTTTCAGTAGTCTTACCTCGAATCCTTCTCTTGACGTTGAAAACTTCTTTAAATCTTTCTTTGGTTCAAGATCCGTTTGATTTGGGACAAAAATGAGAGAGAGAGAGAGAGTGAGAGAGAGCACGGGAGTGAAGAGGGGGAGAGTGAGAGTGAAAGAGAAAGAGAAAGTGCACAGGAAGGAAGGAAGGAAAAGAACAAGTGTCAATATTTTAAAAGAGCAATCTAGAAATACGCCCATACACATTTCTGGTTAAAATAAATTACTGAGAATAATTTAAATACCTTATAACTATTTAAACTCACACGTGTCAGAAACATTTATTAACTAAACTCAATTAATAATCCAGATTAGGCACACTAATAATCTCAATTACCTTAATTAATCTCAATTAATTCTTCAGGGTGTTACACAGTTCCATGCCCAAACTGCATAAAAGGGACGAAGAGATCGAAGCCACAAAGGAGCACATGCAGGATCCCGACCAGAACAAAGCGAGGGAGAAGAATAAGATCAGAAGAAAAACAGGGAAGAAGAGGGAAAAAAATCAAGAACGGCGGAAGGCAAAGAAAGTGAAGAGGAAACCACAAAACTAAGAAAGAGAGCAAATGAAGGGGGCAGAGAAGATGAGAGAATCGAGGAAACAAAGGCTTAGTTTGGTATTACTTTTTCCTCCCAAAAATCAGCTTCTGCTTGTAGCAGAAGCTGATTTTAGTGTTTTGTAAATCTCTTCAAAGTGCTTTTTGAAGAATTTTTCAAGAATCTACAGCCAAAATTAGAAGCAGCCTAAAGATAACTTTAGCTTTTAGATTGTGCGGGAATCAACATAGTACAATTAATGAATCTTTCATAATAGCAATAATACCCTTAATGAAATTTAAAATTTACAATCTTCCCAAACTAAAATTCAGACTCGTAATATAATATAATATAATAGTTATATTGTAACAAATAATATCATAATTATATTAATAACTCTAATATAATTATTTTATCATATAATATGATATTATAATTATTTTAATAATATAATATTATAATTATAATATAATTATATATTATATATTATATTGTATTGATATAATTATATTTATTATATTAATAATATTACAATTATAATATATTTGTTTAATATAATATAATAATGATTATATAATATATTATATTATAATATAATATAGTTGTAGTTTTTAATTATATTATAACTGAAATATTAATATTTCTTATGTAATATTATAATATATTTTATAATATTGTAATTATATTAACCATTTTAATAATATTATTATATTTTATATCTTAATTATATAATATGTTATTTAATAATAATTAAATATACTAATTATATATATTATATTATAGTATAATATAATATAATCGTTATTTTTAATTATTTAGTTATTATTTTAATAATATTATTATATTCTATATTATAATTATAGACAAGGTCTCTTGTCAGATACTTAGAAAGTGCCTGACCAGTCAGGCACTTGTATAATTATGCATGAATTGTGTATATTTACAGATAATTTATGTATATTTATAAGTAAGTTGTGTATATTTATATAACACTTGTATAATTGTGTAATCGTGTATATTTTACATGTACATCATGTATATTTACATATAAATTGTGTATGTTAAGTTATAAGAAATGACAATGTATATTAATCCTCAAAATATGTATTTTTTATAGCAATTAGTGAACACATAGCATGAAAATATGTATATTGGCTAATTTGTTGTATTTCATGTTAAATATACACGACATTACATGTAAATATATACGATTTACCTGTAAATATACACAATTCATGCATAATTATACAAGTACCTGACTGGTCAGGCACTTTCCAAGTGCCTGACCGGAGACAATTCCTATAATTATATAATATATTATATAATAATAGTTTTCTTGTAGTATACTAAATATAATAATAAATATAGGAATTGTCTCCGGTCAGGCACTTTTCAAGTGCCTGACCGGAACGACAGTTGTATAATTATGTATAAATTGTGTATATTTACATGTAAATCGTGTATGTTAAGTTATACGAAACGACAATGTATATTAATCCTCAAAACATGTATTTTTATAGCAATTAGTGAACACATATCATGAAAATATGTATATTAGCTGATTTGTTGTATTTCATGTAAATATACACGAATTACATGTATATTATACACGATTTATGCAGAAATATACAATTGTCGTTCCGATCAGGCACTTTCCAAGTACCTCACTGGAGACCTTACCAATAAATATATATTATATTGTAATTATATATATATATTATATTATAGTATAATATAATATAGTCGTAATTTTTAACTATCTGTAACAATTCAACATTATAATTTACCAAACGCTATTACACTGATTTTGGAACTAGCACAGCTACAATAATTATAGTTTATCAAACATTCAGCTGCTTTTTGTAACATCTGCTTCTTCTTTCAGCACAGCTAAAAGTAATTTTTCTAAAATCTACAACACTACCAAACTAAGCTAAAACCCAAGAAGCCACCTAAAGACCAAAATGCCCTTGCGCCAAAAGAAGAAGAGAGCAGAGAGAGTAAGGGCAAAAGCGTCACAATACTATTGTAAAAAAGTAAACTGAGTGTAGATAAACAGTGCACGGGGGTTTCCTTTAGTATATAGTAATAATTAGATTAGATTCTATTGAAAAGTGTTAAGTAGAACTAATTCAAAATTTAGGTGTGAGATTTTCTAAGGCTCAGGGTTAAAATCAGATTTTGCGAAGATTATGGGTTAAAATCAGAATGAACCAAAAGTTCTGTGACACACCACTAAAATTAAATCCTCCTTAAACCCTTTCTTCAGCCACCTCAAAGACGGTTCTCATTCTCATAATACCGGCGCAATCCAAGTCGGTAAAACTCCTTCCTCAATTCCATTCATGCTATTTAAAAGCTCACCGTCTTCTTCACCCGAAACCCTAACCCTAATTCCGGTTTTCTTCCCCCACGAGACCAAACCAAATCTCTCGCAAGAATGGCGACTCCTTCTCACGCTCAGGCCGTCAAGTCGCTCAACAAATCATCCGGCCGCCAACGCTTCGTTGTGAGTACTCCCTCTGTTCAACCAGAATTTTTTTTTTTTGGTTACGAATTGTTTCGTATGGACATTAAACTCGATGTTTCATTGTTGTCATTGTGCAGTTTAAGACTTTTTCTCAGAGAATAGAAGATATCGATATCGATGTGTACCGGAGTCTTGATAAAGTTAAGTCCGAGCCGTCCGAGGGCTCGTCTTTTTTCCGGGACTGCCTCGCAGAATGGAGAGTATGTTTTGTTTTGCTCTAAATTTCAATATTTAGAGTTGAGTTGAGATGTGACTTGTGAGAGCTATTTATTGTAACAAAACTCGAATTATAAAGTCGGTGAAATGAACCGGACCTAGTTAGTGATTTGGACTCCCACATGATTGTAATTTTTTTTTTTTTTTGATTTCAGACTTGCGTAAAGATTTTAATGGCACAAAACAAGTTGCTTGGTTTCGATTGCTTGTTTTTTCAGTTGCGACAAATAGGATGAGATAAGTAGTTTTTGCTGAGATAGGGAACATTCTGGTGAAACATTATACTTTTTGGGGAAGATTTCTGAAGGTCGTCTTTGTTGGGAAAGTTACTATTTTGCAATTTTTGCCAGAAAAAAGGAAAGAAAAAGAAGCAAAATTTATGGCAGGGAGTAATTGGGAAGAAGATTGTAATTTGTTGACTATTTTTTGAGCTTTAGCTTTTCTGGTTTTGGTTAATCTCAATTCTTATCAATCCCTCCACCCATTAGAAGAGTGATTTCTTTCTATGAGGAAGGTTCCTAATGAGAATGTATTTGTTTGAAATGTTGCTGTTGTATGATTTTGTTACGTATTTCATGTTGATTAGGACTCATTAACTATTGTAGTGGATTCCTATACTCGTACTTATTGGTGTTTGATTGTAGGAATTGAATACTGCTGAGGATTTCATCTCTTTTTATGAGGAAATGTTACCCTTGGTGCAAACATTACCTTTGGTGATAGTGCACAAGGAAACTATCATGCTAGAACTTCTTTCGAGATTACAGATTAAAGCAAGACTTTCACTTGAGCCTATTCTCAGGTATGCTAGACCTTATTTTCTCTTGTGATTGTGGTGGATTGCAATTTTAGAGTAGAATTTCAAATATTTGATTTGGCTTTTATCATTGTTCCATGATTCCATTACATGTTTTCTATTTCTTGCTAAATGGTGTGGAAACAAAATGGTAAGTATGTTATTTATAACAAAATCAGTGGTTCTATTCAGCAAAAAGATAGTAAGAAATTTCTCAAGAAAAGAAAGCTTGATCTTCATGCTATAGAAAAGGGCTTTTCGATAGCTTGAAATAGCAGAGAATTGAGGAAATTAAACTTCAAAGCTACTCTTGAAATTTCAATGTCCTAGAATATCTAGGAGAAAAAAGGGCTTCCTTAGCCTCATATAGCAGGGAATTGATGTTATTAAACTGCAAAGTCACTCTAGAAATCTCAATGTTGTCAAACAGTGAGGACAATAGGGGGCTTCCATAGCCTTAAATAACTGAGAACGGACGAAATTGAACTTCAAGGACACTTTTGAAATGTCAATATTTTAAAAAAAGCGTCCATTTCTTTTTTCTGTTAATATACTTTTTCCATCTTAGGCAATGTCTCAGACACCACAGTTATCAAAGAAAATTTTTTTTTCCCATCTCAACAAGTGCACTTTCATTTATTGTATAGTCACTCGGTGATGTTACACTGTAATAAGGCAGCAAGGAGATTCCTATACGACCTTTGATTTCCTTTACCACTCTTGCACTGTTTCTTGAAGTATCCATGTTCTCGATTTCTTCTGAAACTCAATAAAACCTTTTAAAACTTGTTCTTATGTATTTCTTGATGGGTTTTTATTTGTTTGGACTTTCCTGGATAAACTGAACTTTGTGATTCGTTATACAGGCTAATTGCAGCTTTATCTAGAGATCTTCTCGAGGAGTTTCTGCCGTGAGTTTAACTCTTCATTTTGTTGTTTCTATGTCCTTGGTAGTTGAAGAGTATCATTGTCTATATTTGTCAAAACTTGATCTTCCTGTAAATTTACTTATTCTTGTTATGTCAAAACTTGATCTTCCCGAAATTTACTTATTGTTGTTATTTTTTTCTTTGTGGATATTGGCTTCTCCAGTTTCTTGCCAAATTTTGCCGAGTCTCTAGTTTCTCTCCTTGAAAGTGGTGCAGATAGGGAGCCAGAAATTATCGAGCAGGTTAAAATCTTTTTCGTTCCAGCTTCAATTTTGATTTTTAAATTTCAGTTTCTGGATATCTGGCTAATAGCCAACTAACATTCGCTTTTGTGGGTTTTTGCAGATTTTTACATCCTGGTCTCATGTTATGATGTATTTACAGAAATATCTTACAGACAAGCTTGCATACATACTCAAGTAGGCTTTTTTTCATATTTTGATTTTGAGTTGTGAAATCTATGACCAAGCATTCGTTCTATTGATAACAAAGGATCTTTGAGAATATTTTTGATGGGATCCTCAGCATCTTGTAATGAGAATTGAGAAGTTTCAGACCAAGATCAAAGCTTTAACGTATCACTTTCAAATTATTTGGGACAGTGTGTGTGTGTTAGAAAAGAAGATGGAATTACATAAAGCTATTGACGGTTCCATAAGTATAATAGATTAGTGTATAATGGTTTTAGGATGCTATATAAAATGGTTGAAGTTGGCTAGGTATCTCTTATGGCCAAGACTTAATATTTTAGGTGTGTGGCGTAAATTATAGTAGTCAGACTTGGGTCCAATATAGATCCACTTACTTTCATATGCAGGAAGATGGATAAATAACATTGTGGTGATGTTTTACTTATTATCATTTTGGTGCTTATGTTTTTTTTTTTTTTTTTTTTTTTTCCTCCTTATCTTTGAAGGGTTACTCTGAAATTAAGGTACTACCCAAAAGATTATGTCCAAGATTTTATGGCAGAAGCAGTTTCCTTTTTGTTCAGGAATGCACCTATTGATCAGCTTAAACAAGGTATAGACATGCCATGTCTTGTTGTTTTACGTTCAACTATTTGCTTTTGTTGACGATAAGCTTGACACCGATTTTTTTTTTTTTGGTTATTTCACAGTTTTTTATTTTTTAGTTTTTTTTTGCTTTGTTTCTTTTCTGCTTTCTGAGGATTCAAAAAAAAAAAAAAAATCAAAATTTTTAAGTTTTCTGTTTTTCGTAAACAATTTGAATGATATGAGTGAATACTTTTATTGATCATTATAGAGGAGTTATTTTTGTTTAGAACCTGTTTGCGTACACGAACTAGGAGGTTGAACGATATTGATGTTGAAGGTCATAATTGTTGGTTTAACTCCTTAGAAAGTGTGGTCTAGTGAAAAATTAGGTTTTTGATGAGATTAATTTTTCAATAAAATTGAATTATTTTTGTAGGTTATTGATAAGATTATTATTATTTTTTTAATGATAACAGGTGTCTGGAAGATCATGCTTGAAGTAGTCAAGAAACCCTTAGCTACCAGAAAGTATGGAGTCAGTTTCTTACTTTGTTATGCTATGAGAGGAACCTCATCGAGGCTTCATTCTAAAGTAGAGAGAGTGTTGTTGTTATTGATGAGTGATCCAGTACTCAATATTGGCGATAAATTCAGCCAAGGCAAGCTCTTTTCTAAGCTGGAATTCTTATCTACCTATTCTCCTATTGTTCATATATTCTTTTGTTACTCTTTATCCACATTTTATCTTGTTCTCTTGACATTGCTTGCTCTATTAATTTGCTATGCTACTGATATTACTGCATTGCTAAAGTATGTTCACTTTGTAATTGGTATTCATGCTTTTGTTGCTGTAGTTGCCAGTCTATTTGGTGTTATGACTAAGTTTTTAGACAAACTAAAATGCATAACCAAGGTTGAAAAGATTAAGGTATGTTGATTTCACAACTCAAGTTATAACTTGAGTTATGACTTGAGTTGTCTATGCGAGAGAAAAACACTGTAGCAAAAAAGTTAAATTCGAGTTTTTGTGATAGAAAACACTGTAGCAATAAAACTTGAGTTGTGACTTGAGTTGTAAAATGAACAAGGCCTAAGATACTCAGTCATTAAGCGGAAGGGTTTGTTGCAAAGTTGTTGATGATTTTCTTTAGGAGAGACCAAAAAAGTTTATTAATGAAAGAAAGAAAAGTACAAAATAGGAGAGGGTGAGGCATCCTTAAAAACCAAAAGAAAACATAAGATCTAAAAAATGACAGAGGAACTTCATGATTCTATGTGATAAATGAAGTTGTATTTGTTCTCGGAAAAAAAGACCAAGGAACAACTTCAAAACTACACTGAACAAATTATTTTACAATGATCCCTGAAGCAATTGGTACTCCAGACTTAAAGCATGTTGTCAGCATTTTATACTTGTTGAAGCCTTGAAGAAGCATATTAAGATCTTCCCTCTTTTTCACGTAAGAAAAAATACGGTTTACATCGCATTCCATCTTGATAAGATCTAAGACAATTCTCAAGAAATGAGAAGAATTGAGAAGAGAAAGATGAACTTTTATTGAATTGAAGAATGAATTACAGAAGCAGTACTTCGAGGGACTGCTGGTCCTCCCCTGCTTAGCTAATGAGCCAAGACTTCCCAAAATCACTCAGACTATTCCTGACCTCTCTCAGTTCCCGAACCCCCCTTTTAATATCCCCTGCCTTCTCTAAACTAATTCCCTAACCAACTAAAGTCCACAGTAACTAACAAACTACATCCTTTCTAACAAACTACTAACTTCTCTAACCAACTAACAAGTTCCTATCATTACTCCCGCCCCAAACAAACACCTTGTCCTCAAGGTGTAAGTCAAGAAATTGCAGCCGAATGACTCCACTTCCCATATTGATGAGCTTGAATCTTGGAACGTCGAATGGAGCATTGACTCTAGGAGAGTCAAGCTTAGCAGTGACGAAGGCTACAACAGAGAGGCTTGGAACCATGAACCAAGCAGTGAACCCAAGGGAAACGTTGGGTTTTGGAGTTGCAAACCCACCAATTTCAAATCTGCCATTTGCAAACTTCCTAATTTGAACTCTAGGCATGCCAATTTCTGCATCCCCACCCCCAAAACATGCTGAAATTTCGAGGGTGAACTCCAATTGCACCAAAATTAGCCTCAATCTTGCTGGAATTAGGAAGTCCAGCCCCAACTTTGCTGAAGTTGCCCCTGTACACGTAGGCAGACCAAGACATAGCCCTAATTTCACCAGAATTCACACCTGAATTCCCTTTTCCGATCCAATCCCGCAGGTATTAGGAGGCCCAACACCAATTGAGCGGGAATCAGTCCCAATTGCGCTGGAATCACGGCACCCAGTCCAAATTCGGCCAGAATTTTGGAACCCAGCCCAAATCTTGTTGGAATTCGCGCTCAAAAATGCTGACCTAGTTCCAACCATGCCAGAAGACAAAGACCCAGTCAAAATTGCTCCGGCCAACGACCCAGTTGCACCCGAACCAAATTTCCCATCCTGGTTGCCAGCGTCTCTAAGTTCCTCCGCCGCCGCCTTGGTTTTCTCCGCCGACAACAGCAGCTTAATGTGTTCTTCCATCAATCGGCGTAGATCAACCATCTCTGCCTGGACTCCCTCAATTCCTTTCTCCACCGTCTCCTTAACTTACTGAATTTCCTTCTCCACCGACTCAAATCATTCCTCCAACTTCTTTCCGGCCATAACCAAGATTGATGCTCTAACACCAAATTGATAAGATCTAAGACAATTCTCAAGAAATGAGAAGAATTGAGAGGAGAAAGATGAACTTTTATGGAATTGAAGAATGAATTACTGAAGCAGTACTTCGAGGGACTGCTGGTCCTCCCCTGCTTAGCTAAAGAGCCAAGACTTTCCAAAATCACTCAGACTATTCCTAACCTCTCTCAGTTCCCGAACCCCCCTTTTAATGTCCCCTGCCTTCTCTAACTAATTCCCTAACCACCTAGAGTCCACAGTAACTAACTAATAACATCCTTTCTAACAAACTATTAACATCTCTAACCAACTAACAAGTTCCTATCACATCTTCACTGATTTCAATCTAATCGCCTGTGGTTCATTAGATTTATTTGTTTATTGTTCCTGATAGCAATATCAGTATTGATGCATCACCATAAATAATAAAAAAAAAACGTTTTGGTATATTTCACGTTATTAGGGCCAATTGTATTTCATATTGACGTTGGCATATCTTGGTTAGATAAAATCATAAAATTTTAGAGTAGTGGTTGATCTTCTCCTAAAAGAGAGAAATTTTAAAGTTTTGTGATTCTACCTGTTTCGAATCTCTGTCTTTCGTTCACAGGTTCAGAAAATGTTGTTGAAGTGTTGATTCTTGCGTTTCAAAGATTGTGCGAGGTGACCGAGCGGAAAGAATTGAATTTAATGTGGAAATGCTTATATGTAGAAATAATTGATTCTGTAAAAAACAAGCTCTTTAGGCGATTAGATCACCTGTTATCGCTGCTAATCTCTACCGTTCAGATTAATGATGGGAGAGGGGTTTCTGGTGAGTGATTGTATAAGTTCTCTTTATTCATTTTATTATATTATTTTTGAAGTACGATTGATTTGCTTCTTGGACTACCAACTTATACCTTTCAATGTTTCATAGATTACCGACCAATGGTTGATGTCCTCGCATTGCTTTTAGAAACCTTGATATTACCTTCTGGCATCACAACGAATGAGGATCATTTACCTGAAATTTTTGATAAGGTTCTAGAATTGATGCTTTGCACTCTCGATGTGCTGCACAATTACGATGATATGTCAACCATCTCCGAATGTTCATTGCTATGGGCTCCAATATTTGAATTAAGGAGCTCCAGGTATTTCATTCAATGATTTTGACTTTTGATACGGTTTTTAAATTAAGCTTTTTAGATCGTTCTGACAGTGTGAGGTGTGGGTTTCAGTTTGTTGCCTTTCATTCGGAAACTACTACTGAAGGACCTCTCCATATTGAATTTCTTTAGAGTTAATATATTAAGGTAAACTGAAATGTCATTTGTTTCTTGGATGTTTCTATAAATTACTCGTCTGAGACAATTTCCAACTCTCTCTCTCTCTCTCTCTCTCTCTCTCTCTCACTCACTCACTCACTCACTCACTCACTCTCTCTCTCTGTTATAGTGCCTTGAGTGACTTGATCAAAACTTCACAAGAAGAAGTAGTATATCTATTACTTTCTTTATTTGAGAGGCAAAGCGTGGAAGAAAAAAATGTCATCTTAGGTCGAGTTTCTGAAGAAAGAGTTCTGAAGATTCAAGATTTTCTGCGGAGGGATATCCACAAGTGGATAGGGGCGATAAGTGATAATGTGCCTTTTAATTCATCGTCAGATCAATTACTTGGAACCAGCTTACCTCTGCTGTGGGCAACTGTTAAATGTGTTCCGTTCTTGCTAGATCCTAAAGCAGATTCATCCCTGCTAATTGATTTAGTAGATGCAATTGATCATTGTCTAACAATTAAACCTGGTATTTCTTCTGTCTTTATTAATCTTATTTTTCTTCTAAATATAGTTTTTGATCCCTGGTAGAGTGTGTCAATTCTTTTTCCCTTTGCATAAGCTGCATTTATGCCTAGAAATGAGATCCTAGATGTCTAACCTTAATCTTTCAAGGGACTGTTAACATCTGAATAGCTGTATGTTAATTGAGAATTATTATTCCTTGGTATTCATTTAAATTTCAACTCTTATGAGCTTTTTTCTGTTTTTGTTTTTTGTTTTCTAAAATGCATAATTATCAAGCCACTTTTCATTTTTCACCAAATATAATACTAATTTCCATGAGGTACTCTACTTTTGTGATACCTGTAGTTTACTGAATCTCTGGAAAGTGATTTCTAACTTTCTATTTTATCTATGGCACGTGTATCTATTTATTGCACTCCTTTGCTAATCCGTTAAACTAATATATTATATTCATCTGCACCTTTCTTTCAGATACTGTTTCTGGTGTCCCTAACAAAAGATGGCAAGGCATAATTGGCACTGCTATTAGTTCCTATTCCAAAATGCATCACGGTGAAGATGGATTTAATGAAACAGGCAAAATTTTAAGTCTTGCGAGAAGGCACAGATCATGTTTGCAAGTACTATCTGCTGTTGCTGATTTTTTGGATTCCATAAATGGGTAATGCTGATATCCATATAAAACATGTGATAAGTTCATTCAATTTATTGTTCCAAATTCTTGCGCATGGTGATTGTTAGCTATGTTAAAGCAACTTTTTCTAAATTCTTCTCCAATCATTAAATCATAGGCCAATGACGGAAGCTGACTGCAGCTCTCGAACATATCATTCAGAACTTAAAGCAGACAAGGCAATAGATGCATTAAGTCTATTTGGTGACAATTTGTACCTCTCAGAGAAGGGGCTCCGCACTGCATCTCTTAAAATACTGTCTCACTACGAACCTTTGATCTGTGATCATTTCACAGAAGATCAGCCTGTTCAGAAGAAATTGAAAACTGAAGCTTCTCAGATTTTCCATACAGATAGCCAACACTTTAACGTATGATGTTGATATTCTTTGCTCTTTGATCGTTTAAATCATTGTCTAGTTGAGAGATCTCAATGCTGATTTTCCTTCAACAGGTTCTGCAGCTTCTTCTCTTGATTGAGACAACTCCTCTTTCCGTATCTACCAGCAGGACAGTAACCCTGTTAATCTCTAAAGTGCACATGGCCCTCTCTGCTGGAAGGATAGCCGAAGCTTATGTGCCTCTTCTCTTGAATGCACTGATTGGTGTCTTTCATAACCGGTTTAGCCACCTTTGGGATCCAACATCTGACTGCCTTGCAGTTTTACTAAGCCATCATGTAAAACTTGTGTGGGATAAGTTCCTTAGTTGTTTTATGCAAATCCTCTCCACGTCCCATACATTGAATGATCAACTTGATAAAATCATCGCTAAATCCTCTGACAAATCTAGTGGTATGCGGCAATGTTAACTCGTGCCATTGATACATCTCTCGAGTTCATAAATTTCAAGTGCTTCTTACACATGCTTCCATGTCCACCCCCCCCCCCCCCCCCCCTTCTTTTTTCTCAGTTTTCTTATTACAATTCCCGTGAAGGGAAAATAATATTCTGTGATATACATTGCTGGTTATTATAAGTGACTTGGTTGTTACCAATTAGCTGTCTGGGTTTTCAATAGATGGAATTCAATCTTCTGCTCCATGGCAGCTGCAAGTTATCTTTATGAAATTGAAATTATGAATTATTACTATTTTCTTTATTTGCTAACAGATTTTTTTCTTCCTTTTGTAACTTCTTTTCTTAACAAAATTTGTATCTCTTTTCAGATCTTGTTGAGCGCTTTAATTTGTTCATTAATCCTGCTTCTGATAGCACGCCATTGGCAACAGTATTATCATTGTTGCTCAAATCTTTGCAAAGGATTCCAAGGATTGTGGATTCTCATTCTCGATCTATAGTACCTTTGTTTTTAAAGTTTTTGGGCTATGATTGTGATGAGCCTACAAGGTAATTGTTGTTTTCTAAATACATTTTATTGATTCTTATTTGTGGAGGTCTAACTTTGGTTTCGTAATTATAGTGTGGGATCGTTCAATGCACTAGTTTGTAGAGGCAAAGAGTGGAAGAGTATCCTGAAAGAATGGTTAAGTTTGCTGAAGTTGATGTGGAAGTTTTGGTCCTCTAATTGGAATCAGTCCCTTAAAAGTGTACTGGAAAATAGGTTTGTAGATTATGTAAAGTTGGTATCTATCCATTTGGTGTTACAAGTCCTTTTAGTTTAATATAGATTTATGGATGAAATTCTTGTGTTTCATCAGGCTTCTGGATGCAAATGATCCTGAGATACAGATGAAGGTTCTTGATTGCCTGTTACTGTGGAGACACGAAGATAAAGATGAAGAGAATCTCCTGGTAGTATATAGTCAGCATCTGAAAAACTTGATCAGCTTCAGTAGTTTCAGAGAGGAAATAACGAGGTGGAGTCTGTCTAGAGAATCTAAGCTTATTAATGAGAATCACAGAGCTTATCTTGTACCTATAGTGATCCGTCTTTTGATGCCAAAAGTCAGGAAGTTGAAGAAGCATGCCTCTCGAAAGGTACATTACTTTTGAACTAGTGTTTTTTTTTTTGTTTCTTTGTTTTTTTTTTTTTTTTTTTTTTTTTTTTTTTTTTTTTTTTTATGCATTACACTGTTTTACTTATGATTTACCTATTTCTTGGTCAACTGCATGTTATCAAGTTTTGTATGTTTTTTCACAATAAATTCCATGGTGTTTACGTTCAATTGTTCATTATTAAAAAAAAAAAGGGGAAGTCAAAGTATTCTCATAGGTTGCTTCTTTGATATATATATATATATATATATATATTTGGATAAATTACAAAAAATTCGCCCTGAATTATACCCCTTGCAACACTTTGCCCTCTTAATCTTTAAAATTTAACATCCATTCCCCCTGAACAATGAAATATTAACAAAAAAGCCCCCTCTGTTAGGCTTTTAATTGAACTTGACATTTAATTTGCTATTTTGAGTGTATTTTGGTAATTCTATAGTTTAAAATTTAATTTAAATTTAAACTAATTTAAATATTCAAAGAAAAAACTTCATAAATTTTTTTATTCTACCAAAAGAGATTCATCAAATTTTTTAACTTACATTCAATCAATAATGGGTGTCTCATAATTAAAAGTTTAAATTTAAGTTAGTTTTAAATTCAAACTAAATTTTAAACCATAGAGCTACTAAAATACCTTAAAATAACAAATTAAATGTCAATTTCCGTTAAAAAACCTAATGGAGGGGGCTTTTTTGTTAACATTTCGTTGTTCAGGGAGAATAGATGTTACATTTTAAAGACTGGGGGACAAAGTGTTACTAGAGGTATAGTTCAGGGGAATTTTTGTAATTAATCCTATCTATTTTTTTTTTCTTTAAGTTAGTTTTGTTTTGTTTGTTTTTGTTTTTGTTCTTTATTTTTCGTTTATTTTTCTTTGTTTTAGATTTGTTAGACCTTTTTTTTTCCTTCCTTTTTTCTTTTAATAAAGTTCTTGCTTATTCAAGAAAAGAAAAAAAGGTTGCAGTTCTGTGAGCAATGTGAAAGTCCTTGTGTTTGTGAATATGTACCTTAAATTTTTTCTGTTCCCAGAAGCTGCTAAGTGCTTTCTCACTAGCTTTTCTTTCGTTAAATCCTCTTTGTATTCATCAAAAACAACAAAAAAAAAATATTCAAACTGATTGCCGCCCCTTACTGACCAAGAATTTCCAAAAAATTACTCCAATATCTATATACACCTTTACTCCCTATCTTGTTAAAAATTATTCCACCACTGCCCTCCCTCAATATCTATATACACCTTTACTCCCTATCTTGTTAAAAAGTATTCCACCACTGCCCTCCCTCAAAAATTAAACTTGTATTGACAAATTGCTTAATTCGCAGAAAAATAATGTCACTAAGTGTTTGTGCTATGTTTTCCAATCCATTTTATTAGCCCTCTTTTGAAATTTCTGGATTTTTGCATGTGCTGGCGTATTAGGGGATGAAGTTCCATGTTTATCATCTTGTCCTAATCCTGTTTGGTGGCATTTCTATTTTGGTCAGCATGCAAGCATAAATTACCGAAAGGCGGTTCTTGGTTTTCTAGCTCAGCTTGACGTTGCTGAGCTTCCTCTTTTCTTTTCATTGTTAATAAAGCCCCTGCAAATTGTTCCAGTGGGCGGTGATGGTACATCTGACTGGTTTTGGACTTCATCAATAAGTTCTATAGACAGGTTTCAAGCTTCTGAGCTTCTCAAGTATTTCAGTGTGGATAACATAACAGCACTTTCTTGGAAGAAAAGATATGGTTTTCTTCATGTGATTGAAGATGTTCTTGGAGTTTTTGATGAATTGCGCATCCGACCTTTTCTTAATTTTTTAGTGGGAAGTGTTGTTCGAATATTGGGAAGCTGCAGTTATAGTCTTGATGCTGCAAAGGGCAATATTTCCTCTTTGGATGAAAGCGAATATGGCTCCAAGCTAATTTCAGTTGAAAGAGACAATACTGAAGGAAATATTGTCCAGGTAACTATATTTACTACTCTTAAGGAACGGGATATATTTTTGTTAAAAATTGGTAGTTAATACCAACATGGCTTGTTTTGTCTTATCTTTCTAGTTAGATTAGATAGGCTACCGGTGAATACAAATTTTTCAACTGTTTTGCAATTGTTTAATACTTAGAGCTAATATCTATTATCAGCGGATACTTGCATTGTGTATTGCACATCCAAAAAGTATGACATGGGAGACATTGTTATACACATTTTATTTTATTTTATTTATTTATTTATTTTGCTATGGAGACATTTTTATATCTGTCCTTGTGTATAATGTATTAGACAACCGGAAAATTCTGGACATAAGAACATGGTTATACGCATCTGTGAATTTATGATGTTGAACAGTAAGATTCATTTGTCATTGAGTTTCTAAGAAATATTTGAAATTGATTTTATACCTCAAGATGACAAGAATTGATACTCGGATGCCAAAAGCAAGAAGAACAACACAACATCTCTATTGTTCAACATAATATATAGTGTAAGAAACGGTATTGATTGAGAGATTTATGCATCAGTTTCTCCTTGTGATTTGAGACAAGTAGTGTCATTAGTATTAAGTTTCTGGCATTGCTTAACAGAGTTGTTATGCCCAGTGTCTGACATACCAAGTTTTGTCTCCAGGAGAAATGTCTACAAATTACAAGTCAACCACACGTAGCATTAATATACCTTTGCATTAGTCCAAGCACTTTTTAGTGTTTTTTTTTTTTTTTTTTTTTTTTTTTTTTTTTTTTTTTTTTTTTTCATCTGTAAATTTTAAGGATATCCAAATAAAATCTTTGTCGTTTCCCATTCTTCTTCATGTTTTAGCTGCATTCTTCATTACTTGACACTGCTTGGCATGCTATGTTCATTTTGACAGTCTGTTGTTCCCCGTAAATCTACTATTTTACTGAAGTCTTGAAGCAGCTTATTAAGAAAACTATTGTTATCGAAGAAACTTACTAAAGAAAGCATATGTTTGTGTACAGACCATCTCGACGCTAAAGCAATTAAAGGAATTGAGGTCCTTTTGCCTGAAAATTGTATCTGTTGTCCTCAATAAGTACGAGCATCAAGATTTTGGTGATGATTTCTGGAACCTTTTCTTCGAGTCAGTGAAACCTTTGGTCGACAGTTTTAAGCAGGAGGGTTCTAGCAGTGAAAAACCTAGTTCACTCTTTTCTTGCTTTGTTGCAATGACTAGAAGTTGGAAACTTGTGCCGCTTCTGTACAGAGAGAAGAATCTTGTACCTGACATATTCTCAATTCTAACGGTTACGTCAGCATCAGAATCTATTTTAAGATGTGTTCTTAAGTTCATTGAGAACCTATTAAATTTAGATAGTGAGTTGGATGATGAAGACAATGATGTAAAGAGAGTTCTACTTCCAAATCTCGAGGCTCTTATTATTAGCTTGCACGGTTTTTTTCAAAGTGAAAGTGCGATCAAGAGGTATGACAGTGACATGGTACCATTTCTTTGATTTGTTGCCATTGTACAGTCTTCCTTTGGTTATCATACAAAGAAACGTACAGACTTATCATTGTGACCCTCAGTCCATGGCATACGTGAAAAATCTCCTTTGAGCTTATTTCAAATTATTTCAAACTCTTCAGCTATTGCAGCATATTTTTTTGTCAGGATTTATAAAATGTTCTCCCACTTCTTATCCTTCTGATTTAAGCTTTCCCCTCTTTCTTTAGCCAGAAAATTTCCCCTCTGTAGCACATATTTTATGTTGATATGCCGTTAATGGTTTCACTTTTGCCATTTCAAATATTCCAGGAAATTGGTCAAATGCCTGGGTGAGACAGAGATGAAGATTTTCAAGTTATTGTCCAAATATATAAAGGATCCGTTTCTAGCCAGGAAGTTCATTGACATTCTGCTCCCATTTTTAGCAAAGGGAGTTCCAAATTCAGGTAATAATGTATTGAAATTCTGATGTTTGATGAGTCTAGAAAATGTTCCTTAATGACTGAAATCTACTGTTGTCTTGCAGATGGTTCTCGTCAAGCTGTTGAAGTCATACAGGGTTTGATACTGGTCTTAGGAAGTGAGATTACAACAAGAGTCCTGAATGCCATTTCTCCATTGTTTGTTTCTGTGGATCGGGATGCGCGGCCGTGTCTTTGTGATCTTCTTGAAACTGTTTCTCAAGTGGACCCTTCCACACACATCGTGGTAAAGCTTGTACATATGTTTCCCTGATTTAAGTAATGCTTTCCACAGAGTTTCCTGATTTTCTAGGTTTCTTATTTCCACTGTTCATTTAATTTTGCACCAAATGCAGGCCAAACTTCTCCATGACTTGAATGCAACCTCTGTTACGGAAGTGGGTGGCCTTGATTATGACACTATCATCAATGCCTACGAAAAGATTAATGTTGATTTCTTTTATACTGTTCCTGAGGAACAAGCGTTGCTTGTTTTGTCTCATTGTGTGTTTGACATGTCATCTGAAGAGTTGATCTTAAGGCATACAGCTTATAAGTCATTACTTTTGTTTGTTGAATTTACTTCCTTAATTCTCGGTGAAGTTGAGGATGATCTTGAAAGGCCTTGTAAGAGAACTAATGATGGTTATTGGACAAGAGGGTCCATTAAGCGCGTAATGAGCAAGTTTCTCTTGAAGCACCTGGGAAATGCAATGAAGGGAGAAGCTTCTGTTAAAAAGGTATGGTCTTTTTAAACCCCTTTGAACATTAGGCGCGTTTTCCTGGCAAAAAAAAAAAAGTTTTACTAGTCTACATTAAAAGTATATAGAAGTTAAAAGTATCGAAGCATCTAGAATTCTCTTTGCAATATAAACCTTCAAATTATTTGTGTTGTATTATAATCATCACACCTAACTGTTTCCGTTTTATGATTTATTGATGTGGTTTCAGGAATGGATTAATTTACTTCGGGAAATGGTGTTAAAACTTCCAAATATCGCAGACCTTAACTCCTTGAAGTCTCTTTTTGATGATGACGCTGAAGTAGATTTTTTTAACAATATCGTTCATTTGCAGGTGATATTTTTATGTCACATGTCTCTAAGGCTCTAAATGTTCAGTTAGTCAAATCAGATAAATTTACCTATTCTTTAGAGAAGTTGGGTAATTTTTATTTATTTATTTTTTTAGGGGGCTAGGGTTTTTGTTAGCAATGCTTTTGTCAAACATGGAAGCATCTTATATGGTGTTTCCATTTTACATGAGATATCTCCATCAGCTTGCGTACTCATTCATGAGAATAATTTTATCATTGTTGTTCTTTGGCTTCGTATCTTCCTTTTTTCTTTGTTCTCATATGTACTATTTTTTTATTGCAGAGGCATAGAAGAGCGAGAGCATTGTTACGCTTCAGGAATGCTATAAATTATAGCCCTATGGCAGAGGTAATATTCAATATGTCGCTAAATATTTGTTCTCCAGAAGTTATTACCGAAGTTACTGATTTTTGTTCCCTCCTTTCAGGACATAATACGTAAAGTATTTGTACCACTCTTTTTCAATATGCTATTTGAAATGCAAGAAGGAAAAGGTGAACATGTCAAAAACGCATGTATAGAGGCCCTTGCTTCAATTTCTGGCCAAATGAAATGGAACTCATATTATTCTATGTTGATGAGATGCTTTAATGAGATAAACTTGCATCCAGATAAGCAGAAGGTTTTATTACGGTTAATTTGCTCTATTCTGGATCAGTTCCATTTCTCAGTAACCACGGATGCATTTGACAATGCTTCTGATCCTGGAACCATTTTGTCTGGTTCTTTGGTTACATTACATAAGTGTAGTGGTTCTGCTTTAGTATCTGAGATACAAACTTCTCTTCAGAAAGCTGTTCTTCCAAAGGTACAAAAGTTGCTGGAGTCTGATTCTGACAAGGTCAATGTTAACACCAGTCTTGCTGCACTGAAGATATTAAAATTGCTTCCGGGAGACATAATAGACTCACAGCTTCCTAGTATCATTCATCGTATTTCAAACTTTCTGAAGAACCGTTCTGAAAGTAGTCGTGATGAAGCTAGGTCTGCTTTGGCGGCTTGTTTGAAGGAACTTGGGCTGGAATACTTACAGTTTATCGTCAGGATTATGCGGACTACATTAAAGCGAGGGTATGAGCTGCATGTGCTCGGGTATACATTGAATTTCATTTTGTCAAAGCTTCTTTCAACTCCTGTTAGTAGTGGTAAGCTGGATTACTGTTTGGAAGATCTCTTGTCTATAGTAGAGAATGATATTCTTGGAGATCTTGCCGAGGAAAAAGAGGTTGAAAAGATTGCTTCAAAAATGAAAGAAACTCGGAAGAGGAAGTCTTTTGAAACCCTAAAATTGATTGCCCAGAGTGTTACATTCAAAAGCCATGCGTTGAAAGTACTTTCCCCTGTTACGTCTCAGTTGCAGAAACATCCAACACCAAAAGTGAAAACAAAACTGGAAAGCATGTTAAGTCACATAGCCGCTGGTATTGAATGCAATCCTTCAGTAGATCAGACAGACTTATTTATCTTTATATTTGGTCTCATAGAAGATGGGATTAAAAGTGAGATGAGTAAGGGCGATAATTTATCAATTCCAGGGGCAGATGGACATCAAAAAAATGAAGCAGGTGGGAAAAATATTTCTTCAGGTCGAGTTAAAGGTGCTAAGTCTCTGTGTTCGCATCTTATTATGGTCTTTGCTCTTGGAATATTGCATAAAAGTGTGAAGAATATCGGGAAAAATGATTTGCCGGTGTTATCGATGCTAGATCCTTTTGTTGCATTGCTAGGAAGCTGCCTGAATTCCAAGTATGAAGAGGTTGTGTCTGCAGCTCTTAGATGCCTTATTCCGCTGGTAAGATTGCCTTTACCGTCCATTGGATTCCAAGTTGATAAAATTAAAAGAGCTCTCTTTGATATTGCCCAAAGTACGGTAAATACCAGCAGTTCTTTAATGCAGTCATGCTTACAATTGTTGACTGTGCTTCTGGGAGGAACTAAAGCCACCCTTTCCTCTGAAGAGCTTCATTTGTTAATTCAGCTTCCACTTTTTGTTGATCTAGAAAGAAATCCCTCTTTTGTTGCCCTTTCACTTTTGAAGGCTATTGTTAACCGTAAGCTAGTTGTTCCTGAAATATACGATCTAGCAACACGAGTTGCGGAATTGATGGTAACAAGCCAGGAAGAACCAATACGCCAAAAATGCAGTCAGATTTTGTTGCAATTCTTGCTTGATTATCGTCTTTCTAGAAAGCGTCTTCAACAACATTTGGATTTCCTGCTTTCTAATCTGAGGCAAGTATTGGATAACAAGCTCAAAGTTTTAGGATTGTCCTATTCAATATTTCTTTCCTTATTGTTAAATTTTGTCTTGTGCTGACTTGCAGGTATGAACACTCAAGTGGAAGATTAGCTGTGCTTGAAATGCTTCACACAATTATTGTTAAGTTTCCAAAAACTGTTCTGGATAATCATTCACAGACACTATTTATCCATTTGGTCGTTTGCTTGGCTAACGATCAGGATAATGAAGTTCGTTCCATGACTGGCACTGCTATAAAACGTCTGATTAGTTGTATAAGTGCACGCTCACTTCATTCAATTCTTGAATTCAGTTTATCTTGGTATTTGGATAAGAAGTCGCAACTTTGGGGTGCTGCAGCACAGGTAAAATTCTTTTAACTTTTCGATTCGCATAACTAATCTTAAAGTTATTCTTTTAGCTTATTATCTTCCTCGTAATTTTTTTATCTTGACATTTCCTGGAATAGTTGAAGGTAGTCTGGTTTAGTTATATAAAAGATGCAAATGTCTAAGTGGAGTTGTTAACTAAACAAACCACGTTGAAGTTTATGAGAATGAGGATGAGAGGATAAAAGAAGAAAAGAAAATTTATTGACGATGAAAAGAAGTTAAAATGGATATTTCTTTTAATATTAATAACACCCTTTTTCTCTCTTTTATGCACTTTTGTTCTTCCTTCGTAACTAGCTGTGTAAAATTGTATTTCAAATCTGATAGATTCTCATGGTCACATTTGTTTACCAGTGGTTAATGATTTTTTAAAAATCAGTTGAGGGTATGGGATTTAGACTGCTGGAAACATTTTGGTCTGCCTAATCCCTTTACCGATGTGCTTTTGTTCTGTTATTCGGATTAATGAGTCGGAGACCATGCAAATGGCTGGTGCCTCTTATTCTTTTTCCTCCTTTTTATAATTGTTTCTTGTTTTGATGGCTCTAATTTCTGTTGTCCAGGTTCTGGGGTTATTAGTTGAAGTTATGAAGAAAGAATTTGAAAAACATATCAGCAGCTTATTGCCGAGGGCTAGAACTATTTTCAAGTCTGCCATCAGTGAAGTTACCAATAGGTCGCAAGATTATACTGATGAATCTACTATTCCCTTTTGGAAGGAGGCCTATTATTCACTGATTATGTTGGAAAAAATTCTGCACGAGTTCCCTGATTTATGCTTTGAACGTGATCTTGAGGTATGTTATAATTGTTCTCCTACAGATTTTTAGCAGTTAGTCTGAGTTATGAACTCGTTTATAATTTTTACATTAAGAACAGCTTTGTCCTTTCTCCATGGGAGTCTTAATCCTTTCTACTAGCTATGCTGCTTGTTGTCAGCATGATCTTAGCAGCTGTGTCTGGTAGATATGGAATTTTTTTTTAAGGTAACAAGGTCACCCCACTCCACTATCTTGTAACTGTTTTTTCTTTGTTTAATCTAGGATATATGGGAAATAATTTGTGAACTTCTTTTGCATCCCCACATGTGGTTACGAGATGTTGCAAGTCGCCTAGTAGCATTCTACTTTTCTACTATAACAGAGGCCAGCGGGAAAAATCAAGAGAAACCCATTCAAAGTTATTTTCTTATGAGGCCAAGTAGATTATTTATGATAGCTGTTTCCTTCTGTTGCCAACTGAAGGCAAAAATCAGCAATGATGCTGCAAGCAACCTGATTGAGCAAAATCTCGTCTTCACTATCTGTGGTGTGCACTCTTTGATGGGACAACTGGAGTGTGGAGAACCTCAGAAGTTTTGGTCAGCCCTTGAACCGAATGAGCAGGGTTATTTTCTTAAAGCATTGAAGTTGCTTCATTCAGGGAAAGGACAGGGCATGTTTTTGTCTTTTACATCTGGCGTATTTGATAAAAAAGACGATGCATGTCCTAAGGACATTAGGCACTTACTTGTGTCCAACCTGCTTAAAAAGATGGGAAAGATTGCCCTTCAAATGGAGGATGTTCAGGTTTGTATAACGCAGCGTAGGCGTAATAACATATTAAGCTGATTGAAGTATACTTGCTCGTTTGTTGTGTCGTTAGTATGTTATTACTTGAGATAGTCTGATTGCTGCTTGCTGCTTGCAGATGAAAATTGTCCTCAATAGTTTCAGCAAAATCTGTTGTCAAATTACTCAGGAAGACCGACTACTGTATGCCTATGAAATCCTGCTGCCCTTGTATAAAGTTTGCGAAGGATTTGCTGGAAAAGTGATCTCAGGTGATTTCTCCCTCCTAATTTTCTACCTATATCTTGTTCAATAGAGCATTAGAAAAAGCTGTAGGTAGGTGCTTGAGTTCTGTCCACCTTCTAGTCTCATCAGTTGCAGGGGCAAAATTTTATGGAGGGTTACTATCTTGGCTATTTTTGGGGATATTTAGTTAGAGAGGAATCAGAGTTTTTGAGGATCGTGGGGAAGATAGTCGTGTTTTATGACATAAAGTGAAATATTGGATATCATTATGGGTCTATAGGGAATAGAGAGAGAGTTTGGTAGGCCAATTTTTCTGACTTTGTTAGGAATTGGGCATCTTTTTTATATCTTCGTATTTTTTGTTGTTTCGTTTTGTATTTCTGGGTTTGCTTTTGAGGTTTGGGTTTGCTTTTTGAGGAAACCTCTTCCTCTTGCCCCTGTATCTTTTCATTTCTTCTTAATTTTCAATGAAGTCTTTTGTTTCTTAAAAAAGTAAATAAATAAATAAATAAAATAAAAAATAGAGCATTAGAGAAATTGTACCATAGTTACTCATGGCTTAATTGCTAGTCTAGAATCTTTCATTTATTTCATGTTAATGATAGTAGCTTGCGTAGGCATGATACATTTTCCTTCTAGGCAATATATTCCTGCATATAGATGAAATTTATGCATATGAAAGACGACGGGAATTCACCATCAAACATCTGGACGTATTAAATAGAATAAACAAAATCCATGTCATAATGTTCCCTTTCTTTTATTGTTATATCATGTTGAAATTGTTTCTTAATGCTTGTCTTCCAGATGATATTATGCGATTAGTGAAGGAAGTTTCTGACCGTCTACGAGAAAAGTTGGGCATCCAAACATTTGTGCAAGTTTATGGGGAGATCAGGAAATCCTTGAAGATGAAAAGGGATAAAAGGAAACGAGAAGAGAAGATAATGGCTGTTGTAAATCCTGAGCGAAATGCCAAGAGAAAACTGAGGATTGCCGCAAAACATCGTGTCCACAAGAAAAGGAAGATAATGACGATGAAATTTGGACGATGGATTTAGAAAGCCCCAACATAAAAGAAACAAAAAAGTGTTGCTCATCGTCATCGTTGAAAACCACAATCATCTTCATTTCACTGGATGATTCTCTTCAAGTACCCGTTTCTCATTGACAAACTTCCAGTTTCGCCTGCGAGAAGCAATGAGAGGCTTTTAGTTTTGTCAGTCTACTTGAAAATCATGACGCAGTCGCCGACCTTGGTAATAGTTTTGGAATGACCATTTTTTTATTTCTTTGTATGCATGTTTGTCATATTGAAATTTTGACCCAACGTGCATGTATGTACAGGTTAAGATTAAATACAAATATTTCCCAGAGCAAAAAAAAAAAAAAAAAAAAAAAAAAAAAAAAAAAAAGATGTTCTTTTTTAACTTTTTTTTATTTTTTTTTAATTCTTTCCTTGGAAGGGAGCTTTTTTTTATTTCAATGCTCCATTCCTTGCGAACAGTGTTATTTTGGTTGTAAGTCTATATATTAAGGTTTTTTTTTTTTGGTATAACATAAAAGTAATGATATGCAATAACCTTGTCAAAAGAGTGAAATTGGTTGAACTGTGTTATCACAAACATTATTTTAAGTTCATCAAGTCTGAGGAGCATGTAGATATACATGGCACCTCAATTACTTAATAGGTCTTCAAAAAGCCATGATAAATTATGTTGACATATCGATTCGCTCTTGAAACGTCGTTTTCTAGCATCAGAAAAAAAAAGACATGTCGTTTTGCTAGTGAAAGCTTTTTTTCTTTTTTAAAACGAAGTTGTTTTGATGCATGAATAAAAATGAAATTTCATTTTTTGTGAAATTTTTAGTCAAAATGACATGTCATTTTGTTGGTGTTTTTTTCTTTGTTGTCAAAATGACATGTCGTTTTGTAGGTGACTTTTTTGTGGTTTTACGGAAAATGACGTCGTTTCTCTTCATCAGAAAAAAATGACATGTTTCGTTCGTGAAAGTTTTTTGTTGTTTTTGTCAAAACAACGTCCTTTTGATTCATCACTAAAAAACATGTCGTTTTGATGCTGAGTTTTTTGTCTTTTCACAAAACAACGTCGTTTTGCCGGATCAAAAAAATGACGTCATTTTGTTTGTGGATATTTTTGTCATCCTTGACAAAACGACATGTCGTTTTGATGCATCAATAAAAACACATGTCGTTTTGTTTGTGAAATATTTACACATCGTTTTGTCTATGAATGTTTTTTTGTTGTTTTGTCTCTTTTTTGTAGGCACACTCATCGTGTTAGTAAAATTTCATGTCGTCATTTTTATTATATTTTATTTTATTTTTCAAAGGCAAAAAATATAGAAAATCATAAAAAGTAGAATATTCATCAAAAAATGGTGCCGCTTATTGCATTAATTCCTAAAAATTGTGTATTAGTTTTAGAATGTAAAAGATAAATAAAAATATGAATTTTTGACCCATCCAAGCCCCTGGGCGCCCCACTGCGCGGAGGACTTTTTGGCTGCGTTTTCTTTTTTCATAATTTGATATCATTTTTTGCACGCATGCTCAAAATACTGTGAGGATCATGTCTCTAAAATTTTAGAATACTTTGACATCATTTTTATTTTATTTTATTTTTCAAAGACGAAAAATATAGAAAATCATAAAAAATAGAATATTCATCAAAAAATGGTGCCGTTTGTTGCATTAATTCCTAAAAATCATGTACTAATTTTAGAACTTAAAAGATAAATAAAAATGTAAATTTTTGGTCCATCCCGGCCATTTGGTGCCCAGTGCGCGGGGCGGGGGCTTTTTGGCAGCGTTTTTTTTTTTCATAATTCGATTCCATTTTTTGGAGGTATGCTCAGAATAACGTAATGATTGTGTCTGCAAAATTTTAGAACTTTTTGATGTCGTTTTTATTTTATTTTATTTTTCAAAGATGAAAAATAGGGAAAATCATAAAAAATAGAATATAAATCCAACAATGGTGCCGCTAGTTGCATTAATTCCTAAAAATCTTATGTTAATTTTAGAATGTGAAAGATAAATAAAAATGTTAAGTTTTGACTCATCCTGACGCCTGGGCGCCCCATTGCGAGGGCGGGGTGCTTTTTGGCAGCGTTTTCTCTTTCATAATTCGAGGTCATTTTTTGCAGGCATGCTGAGAAAAATGTAAGGATTATGTCTCTAAAATTTCACAACTTCTTGACGTCATTTTTATTTTATTTTATTTTTCAAATAGGAAAAATAGGGAAAATCATAAAAAATAGAATATTCATCAAAAAATGGTGCTGCTCGTTGCATTAATTCCTAAAAATCATATATTAATTTTAGAATGTGAAAGATAAATAAAAATGTTAATTTTTGACTCATCCTGGCCCCTGGGCGCCCCACTGCGCGGGTTAGGTGCTTTTTGGCAGAGTTTTATTTATTCATAATTTGAGGCTATTTTTTGTAAGCATGCTGAGAAAAATGTAAGGATCGTGTCTGCAAAATTTCAGAATTTTTTGACATCGTTTTTATTTTATTTTATTTTTCCAAGATGAAAAATAGGAAAAATCATAAAAAATAGAATATTCATAAAAAATGGTCTCGCTTGTTGCATTAATTTCTAAAAATCATATATTAATTTTAGAATGTGAAACATAAATAAAAATGTTAATTTTTGACTCATCATGGCCCCTGGGCGCACCACTACGCGGGCCAGGTGCTTTTTGGCACTGTTTTTTTTTTTTTTTTTTCATAATTCAAGGCCATTTTTTGCAAGCATGCTCAGAAAAATGTAAGAATCGTATCGATAAAATTTCAAAATTTTTTGGCAAGTTTGTATTTTATTTTATTTTTCAAAGACAAAAAATAGAGAAAATCATAAAAAATAGAATATTCATCAAAAAATGCTTCCATTTGTTGCATTAATTCCCAATAATCATGTATTAATTTTAGAATGTAAAACATAAATAAAATATCATTTTTAACCCATCCCAGCCCCTGGGTGACCCACTCCGCAGGCTAAGGGCTTTTCAGCAGCGTTTTCTTTTTTCATAATTTGAGGCCATTTTCTGTAGGTGTGCTTAGAAAAATGGAAGGACCATGTCTGCAAAATTTGAGAATGTTTTGACATCGTTTTGATTTTATTTTATTTTTCAAAGACGAAAAATAGGAAAAATCATAAAAATTAGAATATTCATAAAAAAATGGTACCGCTTATTGCATTAATTCTTAAAAGGCATATATTAATTTTAGAATGTGAAACATAAATAAAAAGGTTAATTTTTGACTCATCCTGTCCTCTGGGCACCCCATTGTGCGGGCTGGGTGCTTTTTGATAGCATTTTTTTTTTTTTCATAACTTGAGGCCATTTTTTGCAAGCATGCTCAGAAAAATGTAAGGATCGTGTCTGTAAAATTTCAGAATTTTTTAACGTCATTTTTTTTTTCAAAGACGAAAAATTGAGAAAATAATAAAAAATAGAATATTCATCAAAAAATGGCGCCACTTGTTGCATTAATTCCTAAAAGTCATGTATTAATTTTAGAAAGTAAAACATAAATAATAATATCAATTTTGGACCCATCCCGGCCCCTTGGCGATTTTTTTAGGACCCATCCCGGCCCCTTAGTAAAACATAATATCATAATTTGAGTCCATTTTTTTAGGCATACTCAGAAAATGTAAGGATCATGTGTGCAAAATTTTAGAATGTTTTGATGTCATTTTTATTTTATTTTATTTTTTAAAGACGAAAAATAGAGAAAATCTCGTTTTGCTGGTGAATGTTTTTTTTGTCTTTTTTTTAAAACGGCGTCGTTTTGACACAACAATAAAAACGACATGTCCTTTTTTTGTGAAATTTTTTGTCAAAACAACATGTCATTTTTTGGTTTTTTTTTTTCATTTTTTGTCAAAACGACATGTCATTTTGTAGGTGACTTTTTCGTGGTTTTATGGAAAATGACGTCGTTTCTCGTCATTAGATAAAACGACATGACGTTTCATTCGTGATCGTGAAAGTTTTTTGTTATTTTTGTCAAAACGATGTCGTTTTGAGTCAACACTAAAAAATGACATTTCGTTTTGTTGCTAAGTTTTTTGTCTTTTTACAAAACGAAGTCATTTTGTGGGATTTTTTTGTCGTTGTTGACAAAACGACATGTCGTTTTGATGCATCAATAAAAATGACATGTCGTGTTCTTTGTGAAATAATTCTCTTTTTGTCAAAACGACATGTCGTTTTGTCTGTGAATGTTTTTTTTTTTTTTTTTTTTTTTTTGTAGTTTTGTCTCCTTTCTATAGGCACACTGTAAAATTTCATGCCGTAGTTTTTATAATATTTTATTTTATTTTTTAAAGACAAAAAATATAAAAAAGCCAAAAAATAGAATGTTCATGTTGCTTGTTGCATTAATTCTTAAAAATCGTGTATTAGTTTTATAACGCAAAAGATAAATAAAAATTGTAAATTTTGACCCATCCCAGCACCTTGGTGCCTCACTACGCTAGCGGGGGACTTTTTTGTAGCGTTTTCTTTTTTCATAATTTGATGCCATTTTTTGCACGCATGCTCGGAATAATGTAAGGATCGTGTATGTAGAATTTTAGTATATTTTTAAATCATTTTTATTTTATTTTATTTTTAAAGACGAAAAATAGAGAAAATCATAAAAAATAGAACAATCATCAAAAAATGGTGTCGCTTGTTGTATTAATTCCTAAAAAAGATGTATTAATTTTAGAATGCAAAGGATAAATAAAAATGTGAATTTTTTACCCATCCCAGCCACTAGGCGCCCCGTTGCGCTGGTTAGGGGCTTTCTAACAACGTTTTCTTTTTTATAATTCGATTCCATTTTCTGCAAGCATGCTTAGAGTAATGTAAGGATCGTCTTTGTAAAATTCAGAACTTTTTGACGTCATTTTTATTTTATTTTATTTTTCAAAGACAAAAAATAGGGAAAATTATAAAAAATAGAATATTCATCAAAAAATGGTGCCACTTGTTGTATTAATTCCTAAAAATCATATGTTAATTTTAGAATGTCAAACATAAATAAAAATGTTAATTTTTGACTCATTCTGGCCCCTGGGTGCCCCACTGCGCGGGCTGGGTGCTTTTTGATAGTATTTTCTTTTTTCATAATTCGAGGCCATTTTTTCAAAGCATGCTCAGAAAAATGTAAGGATCATGTCTCCAAAATTTCAGAATTTTTTGACATCATTGTTATTTTATTTTAATTTTCAAAGACAAAGAATAGAGAAAATCATAAAAAATAAAATATTCATCAAAAAATGTTGCCACTTGTTGCATTAATTCCTAAATATCATGTATTAATTTTATAATGTAAAACATAAATAATAATATCAATTTTTGACCCATCCCGGCCCCTGGGTGACCC